GGATATTTGGAGGAAAGGTCGTGATTCTGTTGAGTCCAAACGATAGGAAAGTGCTTGCTGATTGCCTCCGGAGAATCACCTTCCTATGAATGAAACCTGCCACGGGAACTCCATGATTTCCTTTGTTCGTTCTCCGTGTGTTTCTGACTATAGTTCGAAGCCGTACGCGAGCAGAGTGGCAGTCGCATCCGTCTCGACGTTGACGTGGCTGCTCCCGTGGTGGTGGTGCCGCTGTCCTCCGAATCGGACCATTCGCTGGTGCTGTGGCTCGGTCGACTCACCGTTCTCAACACGTTTGTGAGACACGGCGATATAACGAACTCTGATGGCACATCACCCGTTGTCATTGATGACATGGCCATCGCATTAACCGATGTCAAAGTTGCAAGGTACAACACGTACACGTACTAAACTATAGAATAGCATGCTGGAAGTGCTTGTGTACACAATAGAGTTGGCTGTGTTTGTTGATTTATTTATTGCCCCACATATATCTCAAAGCACAGTGGGGACACTGGCCAATGAGTATCTCTTGTGAACCACCATTTGCTTTTCTGTTATGTTGTGCTTTTCAAAGTGTGTGTATGGTCTTCACTTTGTGTCTTCTCAGAGTGTTTGCAGGTTTGTGTAACTGCTGCTGTTGCTACATTGTCTTATCTCATTCACTAGTTGAGGGCATGGAAAAGGGAAGTCTGAAGAGAAAAATTGACTGTCACCACCAGGACTCGAACCAGGGACCTTCGCTTGAGGCCAGCGTTTGTCTTCTCTGTACATGTGTTTGTGCAGACGTGTGGTGAAGAACGGTGTCGTGGAATCCACCGACGGCAACCTGCACACGATTCTCCAGGAGGTGACGATGTCGGTGAATGTTCGCCGTAGTTTGTCGCCGTGGTGTCATGACATAGCTGACGTGGCCGTGGCCGGAGAATGCAAGCCTATACAGGTCAGTGTGTAGCATTCTACAAGTACTAGGCTGCTGTAATTCACAATGCATGTGTAGATGGGCTTGACGACCTGGTATGTTTGTATAAGCCTTGGTCTCGCCATGATTGTATTTTATTTGAAATACCGTAATGTCGCATATAAATAGAGGTGCTTACGGCCGTATAAGCCGGGGTTCAAACCATGCTTCTATTCAAGTTATGCTTCTATTCAAAACATGCTTCTATTCAAGTTATGCTTCTATTCAAAACATGCTTCTACGTCAAGACATCAGTGTACACTGTGCACGTGTCTTTGCAGAGAGCGGCTTCTATTCAAATTGTACTTCTGTGTCACGGCGCGCTTCGAAAAATCGGCTTCTATTCGAGTCATGCTTCTATACAGGTCATGCTTTTATACGCGACACTACGGTAGTCTTGTGTCTGTGACATGTGTGTGTGTAGCCAGTGGGCATGGCTGCTCTTTACTAGCCTTCAGGTTTTTTCTCCCTTTTTGGCGGGGTTGATGTTCTTAGTTCTTCTTCTTTTTTTCTCTGTGCTGCTGTTCCAGGCGCAAGTCTGCAAAGGCGATGTTGACTTTGTGTTTGGTTTGCTGGATGGCAATCTGAAGGAAGGCATGCCAGAGTCTGGTAGTACACAGCCAACAGCACCAGCCGGTCAGTGACACGCCACTAGTGATTGTGTGTATACACTCATGCATACAAACACATGCATGTACACACATACATGCAAACACATGCATGATTGTACACACATGCATGCAAGCATGCAGGCATGCAGGCACCACATGGAGAGATACATGCCAGTGAAAGGATTATGATTGCATGTGACTGTACAGGTTGGCTTGTAAGTGATGCCTGTACTGGTCTACGGTGTAAAAATATGTTGTAGAAAAGCTGCGCCTTGTGTGCGTTTTCGTAACGTTTCACCACTTATATGAGATAAGCTTCAGTGCGGGAAAGGCTTTATGGCGTTAATGCGGTATGTCTGCGCAAAATCAGGCGTACACAAATTCAGGAGACAAGAGGCTGTTTGTCGTAACTTCAAGATTCATTCGCTGGTCAATCACCATGGCCTATCTTGACAATCAGGCTTGCATCAGGCAAACAAATGAAACAGGTGTTTATGGAAGACAGTAGTGTGGTTTCATTTGGTGTTCTTCATCTTCGTGCAGTGTGGTTGCCGACAATATGTTTACTATTCAGCCAAATTAAATGTGTTCTTTGATCATACCATTTGTATGTGCCCTAGGTGGTAGTGTTGTGCCTTCAAAGTCCAGAGCGAGCAGTCCTGATATACCAGAAACGTATGTTCATTAACTTTATTTTCATGTTCGGTAGTGTATGTACTCGTAACTTAAGTTGTAGACATATGCCGCTGCTATTTCTGTTCATCATTGTTTTACATAAAATGTCAAGTGTCAAGTACCAGGATGTGCCACTGCTGTGTGTGTGTGTGTGTGTGTGTGTGTGTGTGTGTGTGTGCACATGTGTGTGTGTGTGTGTGTGTGTGTGTGTGTGTGTGTGTGTGTGTGGTGTGTGTGTGTGTGTGTGTGTGGTGTGTGTGTGTGTGTGTGTGTGTATTCGTGCATGCATTTGTGTGTGTGTAATCGTGCATGCATTTGTGTGTGTATTTGTGCATTTGTGCGTGCATGCGTGGGTGTGCATGTGTATGCCAAAATTCCAGTGTACATGCATTTTTGTACCTTATATCGTCAAAGTGTGGATAAGTTGCAACATTTAGTTATTTTGAGTCTGACCCAAGCTACCCTTTTCTCCTGTTGAAGTGACGAGGTCTCTTGTCTGTGTGTTTGTGTTTCCTCTCTCTTGTTGCTGTTGATAGACCGGCGGCAAATGTACCACCCAGTAAAGTGAAGTTGGAGCTTTCGTTCAAGCTGGAGGAGGTGCGCAGTCATGCAACACCATACAGTCATGCAACATTATGCAGTCGTGCAACGCCATTCATTCATACATCATACTCACTGCAGTAGCATCCACAGGCTATTTGCTGGGATGAATGTCGTGCTTTGTGTTTGTCTGTGTGATCATTATGAAATGTGAAAGCTTGAGTCCTGGTGAATGCCTTGCTTTCTTTGTGTACATTTCATCTGGTGGTGCAGGGTTGCAACTCAATCTTGAGTCACGTAACTGCTTCCACTTTGTTAGGTCTGATCAGCTGAGCTCAGAGTCATTGGCTAGAGTGATCACACTGAAATCTAGTGTATCCTGTAGTTATCATGATAGTAAGAACAGCGTACACATTACTGTAAGACATGTTAATGTAACGAGGAAGCAAATCTAACGTTTTAACCGGTGACATTTCTTCGTTATAATAAGTTCTGTTGAGGCGGCAAGGCCACATATGTGGTATGTGCGGATAAGCCTGAAGACTGCAAGATCGTTATCGTATGTTCTCGTTGACCTATGGACTTTGGACAATCGTTAAATTTGTGACTCGTTATAATAACATTTCTTACAGTACTGCTTATGCATCTGTGATTGACACGCTTCCATTCTTGTCTGTTTTGGCTAAGACATGCTTCAGGAGCTGTTATTAGTTGTAAGGTATGTCAAAAACTTAAGTTGATGTTTCTCTCGTTGGTTTGATTCGCCAGGTTTCACTCACTGTTCTGGAGACCTTGGGAGATGTTGAACGTCCCCGGCTGCGCGTGGCAGTGTCTGGTCTCTCCGCCGGTGTCATGATGCGGCAGTATGACCTGCAAGCCAATGCGGCCATGAACTACATTTCCGTGGAGGAGTGTACACAAACAGGTAAAGTGTGCTGCATGTCGCAAACTCTCAAGTCGGATGGAGTACGGGACTTAGTTAGTGTGGCGAATGAGTATCGCGTCACTACCTCGAGCTTCGGTTGGGCATTTTTCTCTCTGTTGCTATCTGTATCACGCATTCTCCTGCAGTTGAATTTTGCTTGCAACTTGATGTGTCGTGACTATTGGACTTGCATTGTCATCGTACACGTGCCTTAAGTGTGTGTGTCTGTTTCTGCTTATGCATGTCACTACTTGGGTAGGTGTAAGACATTGTATATGTGTGGATGCTAGTGTGCGTGTGTGCGTTCGTTCGTGCGTGTGTTCATGCGTGCGTGCATGCATGGGTGTATGTTTGTGCACTGAACAGGTATCGATGGCGGACCGATGTACATTTTGGACAGTGACCGATTTCAAGACTTGTTGGTCATCAATGTGACAGTTGTAAGTTGGATCTACACGTGGAAACTCCACTGATTTGTAAGAGGTTCAAGCATTTGTAGATGGAATTGTACGAAACAGCACGCTGTCCGCAGATTGAGTAGATGGAATTATAGTCAAGTGGTGTGCTTCACTGTCCGAAGAGTGCTCAATGCCCATGTAGGGCAGAGCCTTGTACACAAGAGAGAGTTTGGAAGCTTTGTTACAACTCTGAGTTTCACATACTTCCTCCGTTAACAAAAACTTCGTGATGGATTTTTGAGGGGCTTATTTGGGCACAAACTCCCGTGAAATGAGTCGCAATGACTTTCTTGGCCTTCCCTGGCATGCCATGAAAGAGGTACGATGCAAGGCAAGCGACCTTTCACAATAAGCCGAGCGGAATCGATGGTTGCGCTGTGGAAACATAGGTGATGACAGTCATCATTGGTCATGGCGAGCGAAACTGAAATACCACTTCTCCGAGGGATATATTGCGCTGCTTGGCCTCTCTACCACTTTAGCACTAAGTAAGTTGGAGAGCGATAGAGAGTGATAATATGGAGCAGCGAGCCCACACAATGAGCGAGTGAACAAGGAGCTGCTCCAATCGCACGGCTCAATGAAAATAATTCTGAA